CACGTAGACGATTCCATTCTTGATCGCCATCACAACACCAACGACACCATTTTTTATAGCTGTCACCACGTACACAACACCATTTCTGATCGACGTCACAACATATATGGCACCATTCTTTATACCAGTCATTATGCTGTATACTCCGTTTTTAATCGCATTTCCAGTTTTGACGGCAGCTGATTTGATGGCATGCCAAATAGCTGAATGAGGGATTTTACAACTTATTTGATTAAGAGCTGTAGAAAAGTCTGAACAGAGATGTAAGATTGTGAGGTATTGCACAGAAAATATTAAACTTTCACCGTAAGTAGAACCTTTAAAGCAATCCATATCAGAAACTTCTCAGAATTTACCAACTTTGCTAAATGAAGTGAAAATTGCTTACTTTAATACAAGTTATAAGTCCAGAAAATTTGGAAGCTTTTCACTGATTTCAATAGCAATTGTATTTGCGTAGCTGGAAGATTATATAACGCGAGATCGTGACCGCGTTTATGCCAACGCTTTATTTAATCTAAAGTAGGCAGTACAAAATGTTCAACTTACTGCAACCTTTAACTATATATTTGCGTGGTAATTTAAGTAACAAATAGGGTATCCCATTTCTAAAGCGAAACTTCAGTTCACTCTATTATGTTTGGGAGATTTCAATCATTTTTCATGGGGATTCAACCTTATAACAAATTAAGTAGCTGAACAGAATTGCTATGTTGTAAAAAGGAGTATGAGAGCAAATTTTGCTCTGCAGAATAATGAACAGTCATGAATCTACTTTCCCATGTCTCGAAATCGCAAATTAACGCTCGCAGATAATCCGCCAACAAATCTTTGGCCAAAGACCACTTAGGACTGAACAACTCTTAACATAAATTGCATATTGATAATAGGGGAATTTTTGGCTTGTCAATTTTTCAATATTCTCTTTTCACATCACATACTAATCAACGTAATTTATGAATTTTACGTAAAAGTAGATCATATTGTTTAAAGAAAGGATTACTGTCCTTTAACTTGTTTTTATAAGAGGAGACTAAGCTAATTCATCAAATTCCACATTTTTTTGCACGCTGATTACACCAGTTTCTTGGTCCCTTTTGATACTTGATATATCGACATACGATAGCATGATAATTAGGAAAAGGCTACTTTCAGCGGTTTTCTCAGAGTACTTGAATAAGTAATTCACAGAATAAACGGTTGCAAAGGTAGCGAAAAAGAAGGATCAGAAACTCACGAGGAATAAACTGCAGCAGCACAATATATTTCAGCACTTG